ATAAAGTCAATATCAGTAAAATGGTGTTTTTCAGAATCATATGCAATATTACCTAGATAATATTGCACCCCTTGGCTAAAATTGAGATAATATTGCATGCAATGTTATCTCAAATTCACTGCACATCTTATTTACAGCATTTAAATAATAGTTTAATTAAGAATTAATTAATAAATATTTAATGAAGAGAATTATTCCACAATATCTATTATTTTTCGCGTTCAGATACTGTACATCGTCGGTCAGACCCGACGGTTCAGCCGACAAGGGTTCAGATAGACTATCATTATTAAATACCATTGATTTAATTGTCAAATGTGTTTCTGAATTTTATTTCACTTCTAATTCATATTAAATTCAATTCTCTGTCACTCATGTTTTAACTCATAACTATGTCTATCATTTCATTTGTGCTTACATTTGTTGAATTCTAAATTCTCAGACTTTGCCTTTAAATAGTGTTTGTCAGGAAATTGTTACAAACTTTTGTTGACCATAAATTTACACTATAAAACTTTACTATTTAGGTAAAAGTCTACACATTTTATATGCCAAACTAAATTTGTTTAAATATTTTTGGCAATTTTGATAAAATTTAAAATTGAGCTAAAATCAGGTGCAATATAATCTAGATAATATTGCACCCCTTTACTGATATTGCATGCAATATAATCACAGGTAATACGGTAATTAGTATATAAAGCCAAATATTTTTCATTAATTTTTAATTTATTTATAATTAAAGATAAATTTAATTAGAAATGTTCAGCAAATTTTAAGTTATATTCATTACTTTTGTATGTTTTTGTGCCAAAAGTGTCACAAACAGCGACTTTATAGCACTCGATGGCACCGATTGGTTGGCTATTAATCAAAATAAATGTAACAAAATTTTAATTTAATAATAAGATCGATTATTTCAATTTCAATTCTAATGAGACTCTAATTTGACACAAAGGCATTCATTTGAGAAAAAAGCCATTTGTTTGTAATTTTAATGATTGTAACAAATGTTTTGCTCAAAAAACTTATCTCAAAAAGCATTTGTTAAGACACATGAATATACAAAGCCATAAATGTATTCATAAGAACTGTAATCAACGGTTGGTTACAAAATCTGAATTAAATCTACTTTTGAAAACTAACCTACACAGTAAATAATATTATTAAAAAGTAATTTTTAAATAAATACTTTTAACAATGTAACATGTATTCAGTATTATCATAATTGTTTAAAAAATTCTATAACTATTCCATTTTAATCATAATTTGATGTTTTATTTTATAATACATTTTAAACAAATGTCAAAATTTATAATAATAACAATTTGCTCCTACACATACTCCTGCTCGAAATTAAACCACGGGTACTCCAGCTTTGCCGCCTCCATGGCCTCCACACAACTGGCCCTATGATTGCTGGCTTAGGGTTTCATATCGGCCGACAGTGTGTCGCACATAACAAATGTATAACAAATGTAATGGTATTTGTGACTAATGTTTTAAAATTTACTACAAATAATGTCCAGCAAAAAACTAAAATAAAAGCTTTTTAATGAAAGATGCTCAGTACTGGTTATAATTAATTTTTAAAATTGATAAAGAGTTAATAGAACATAGATCAGCTTGCTCGCATTGTTTGATTAAACTATCGATAATTAATTAAATTTTTTACAATATTTGTATAAATAATTTTCATTTTGTATTTATTATTGTTATTCAGTTATTAAACTTTGCAAACTCTCCATCCCTCATCATTTTCTCTACACACTTCATTTTCATCCTCATTGCAATTGTCATCACTATTACACTCATGCCTACTGTTGCAACGTCTCACTTCGTCTCCATCAATTGCGCTACACACTTTACCATATTTGCAATCACCGTCTTTGTTACACTCGTGTCCATCACGTTTAACCCGATTTAACAATGACCGTGCTAAATCTAGGTTGTAATTAGCGCGTTTCATACGTGTGATCAGTTCACCTGGTAGTTGTTGACTCGGCACCACCATCATAGTCACGGCCACAAGCAACAAAATGCCAGTTTTATTCATGATTGTTTTATTTACGCGGTCTATATTGATTGTAGAAAAACATATATGGATTATTAATAATTAAGCAAGTTAATTGTCATATTTGATAATACTTATGTAATTTAAAATGGTTTCATGTATTACTTTTGATAAACTGCAACACATATGGTTTATTATACATTAATGAATGGAGTACTAATTAATATTTTACAATTTAAATGGGTTAAAGTAATATTTGACGTATCATTTACGCGTTTAATTGATTTTCATTTATTAATATGACCTTGGCAATTTCGCCGCCCGGTATCATACTTACCAGTAGACCGCTGGCCCCTCCGCCGTCGTCCCAGCCCGCGGCGAGTGAGCTGAAGGCCCGGATGTTTCGCCGGTCAAAAGTGCGCTGATATACCGTCCGATTGTCGTTATCGCCTGACCCTAACAGTACCTCTTCGAGGGGGTTGTAGTCCGACGGGCCGTCCAATACGTCCACACACTGTAAGATCGATTTGCTGCCGCATACGGCCAGTCGTACACAATTAACCGGGTCAATTGATATGCCACATATGAATATTGATCTGCCACATTGTTTGGCCCATTTCCAGCCCATGCATAGTAGAAAGCGTACGGCTCGCCGCCCGAATCGTTTAGCTAGGTGCTGAAATTCTGGGTCCTTGATGATTTTGTCTAGCTCCTGCATGGACTGAGCTAGTTGCTTGTTGGCGGTTTGGCTGGTGTTGTGCGCGAGTACTTTTAGCCGCTCCATGTGCGTGGTGTTTGTAGCTGTAATAAAATTTCATAGTGGTTAATTTATTTATGTTTTAAATAGTATAGTAATTAATGGGGATCGATAACCACTTTGATCAATCTAATAAATTAATGTTTTAGCAAAACAAATAAAGCCATATAATATAAAATAGGGTTTTTAATATTTAAACTTAAAATTTTTATATAGTGTAATGTTTTTATGATGGTTTTACTCAATGATGTAGTTATTTTATATAATTTATAATCAAAATAATAAATTTAGTATTGAATTTAAGTTAACACTCATTTGTAAACTTAATATACTTTTATTAAAAATTTGAGATGTTTTAAATATGATATAAATATAAAATACTGTTCTGTAAATTATATTATTTAATATCGTTTAATATCAAACAATTTTTAATGACATTATAACTGATCTTGTTAAAATCATAATCAAATTATAATATTTGTGTTATTTAAAATAAAAATTAATCTTCTATCTAATGCTTTTATCCAACAATTCCCGTGAATTAACATTTATAATTTCTAATATTATCCCCTGTTAATATTATAGTAATTTTTACAGTTTTAAACATGTGCATTTTTCTATTTCTTATTAATAAATGAATTAATTATCAACCATCAATTTATATTACATAAATCATCCTGATCATCGTCATCGACATAATCTGGGTCTACGCAAATCCTTTCATACTCATCATCTGTGCCTGGTACTTTACTGATCTCATCACATATCTCCACGCAATAACACTGATAGATAACCACGGTCAATAATGTCAATAAAATACAAATTCCTGTATTTAATAATAAATAAATGTTTATATAATTTTATAATGAATCATATTATAGATAACATTAATATAATACCTACATACGTTTTGCATTGACAACAATCATGATAGTTTGTTAATATTTCAATTGCCAGTAGTTATTTTATAAAATTTATCAAATCCATTTTACATTGTGTATTAATATAAATATTTTTATTTGTAAACATTGTGTTAGGTAAGTGTATATTTTGCAACACAACACTATATTTAATAATAAAAATTAATTAATTAACATATTTTTAAAAATCATACATAACGTTATAGTTGTTTATTAATGTTAAAAATATAGCTAATATTAAATGTATATTCACTTTATAACAATTATTCCCAATTCTATCTCATCTCAACATGCAACTTGCAACTTTGGAATTTAATTGTAAGTTAGCATTTATTTTTGAGAAATATAATACTCAAATAATACTTATATTATACTTTTATTTAAAATTTGAGCTATATTTAAATATGATATAAGCCGTTTTAAACACTGTACGATGCAATATTGCATATGATCTAATATTAAATATGTTTTAATAATCAAAATACACATTTTAGGATAGATTAAGAATATTAATTTTATTTTTATTAGTAGACAAATGGATTCATTGGTTTGTATTATATTATAATAATTATAACAACAGGACTTGCTATACGTACGAAATGTTTTCAATCATAGAATTAATGTTTTTATTTTGAAACATAGATTTATATTAATTCTAGTGTTTAGTGACTAAACTTATAGACTAAACTTTAGTCTATATATTGATGGCTATAATGGAAATCATATGAGAATTCATTTCTATGAGAATATCACTCATAGCGGGTGTGGAGTCGGGAGGAAAGGGAATCTAATGGACAACACGTGCTTTCCATTTCATACAGCTATGGATACAGTGTTTGCGGGCATTCAAAACGGACGGGTAGTACAGCCCGGAGAGACGCCGTGGACTGTTTACATCATTATTAGTAAAACCAGCGGGTTGGTCTTGATTTTATATTAAATATAAATTACATATATAAATTACATATATACTTTACATATCTCTCTCTCTCTCTCTCTCTCTCTCTCTCTTTCACACATTTACTCAGCACTCGTTCATGTAGTGGCGTAATACTGAATGAACGGTGGGTCCTAACATGCGGTCACTGTTTAACGTATGTATTATATTATTTGTAACAATATTTAATAGTCGTATAAACAACTATAATTATATAATAATAATTAATACATAAGTTGTGCAAACTGTACGGTGACCGACATCCGTGTATACGCGGGACTAATAGACCAAAGCATTACAAATTTGAAATACTATACGGGCGGCAAGTATTACATTAATCCCGATTACGCAGCAAACAAATGGTTTGCCTACGATCTGGCGCTCATCCGACTCGACACTAGTATACCACTGGACGGGACGTCGGGTCGGACGGGAATTAACGCCATTTGTTTGCCCGAAGAGAATGTGACAAATATAGCCGAAGAGTACGCCCTATTGAATGGGTTCGGACACAACACCGATGACGGGTGGGGGAAAGGTGTACAACGCGTGGGCTGGACTAAAATTATGAAAAGCAATCCCAACAATAGTCATGGTGAAAGTGTAAAGCTATTTTTTAAGCGCACACCATACCCGACGGGAACAGCCGGTTGTACCGTATGCTATATTTTGCATTTTTTGTAACTTTTATAACATAGCTGTTGAATTTTGAAATTTATTTACATTATTATTTAATTAATTGTCTAACAATTTATATACTATGTATTTGACTATTTAATGTTGGGCACACATCCCCCGAACGACCAGGGTGATTCCGGTTCACCAATTATACAGTACGTGAATGGTGTGGCTGTACTTATTGGCATTTATCGTGGTACAAACACGGGAAATGCATGTATGGGCTTAGCGCCAAAATCTAAAGGATACGCCTGTCGTGTTTCATATTACATGCAATGGATTCTCAATACTATCTATGATAATAATCGCTAGAGTTGTCATTAGCGTTGCCATATAGTAGTTTGAAAATCTTGTATAAATGTTTGAAAATTTCCAAAAATTCCTGTATTTTTCTGTATTACAGCTTATTTTCAAATTATTTATTTCTGTATTTTTCAATGTACATGAAAATGTCTTCCTGTAAATTGTTAGAATTTCTATATAATACATGGAATTCCTGTATGTTTTGGGAACACTAGTTGTCATATGTTTTAATTATATAATTTTTGTATTAATAATAGCATTTATAATTAATTAATAAATATTTTCTCGCTTATGTTAAATGATGATGTTACTGATGATAATCAATATACATTTTTAAACAAAATAATGTTTTAAGTAAAGTTTACAAATTGACAAATTTTTGCATTTAACCTACATAATTTTAACCAAATCTACTTATGTTAATAGAATTGTTATTTTACAGTATTTAACTGATAAATTTTATCTATAATTCAGTATTAAAAATGTAGTTTATACAGTAAAATGATCGTGATTTATATCTTATTATCCTATTTGATTTTACATGGAATTAGAACCTAATTCTATGACTATATTTTACCATGGTTGTCGTATATTCAATATTTCTGAAAGCAGAAATATTATCTCAGACATATTTTTATAAACATATAGCTAATATTGAATGTTGTTTCATTTTATAACAATTATTCCCAATTACATTTTATCTTAAGTCATATTATACATCTTTGGAATTTAATTTTGAGTTATCGTTTATTTTTGTCAGAAATATTATACTTTTATTTTAAATTCGAGATATATTTAAATATGATATAAGATATTTCAAATATTGTTTTGCATATTATTTAATATTAAAAAGTTTTTAATATTAAAAATATACATTCTATTATAGATTAAGGCTATTAATTTAATTATTATTAGACAAATGGATTCATTAGCTTGTATTATAACAACAGGACTTACAATACGTACGAAATGTTTTTAATGATTAAACTAATGTTTTTATTTTAAAACATATATTAATTCTAGTGTTTAGTCTATATATTGATGGCTATAATGGAAATCATATGAAAATTCATTTCTACGACAATATAACTCATAGCGGGTGTGGAGTCGGGAAGAAAGCGAATCTAATGGACAGCAAGTGCTTCACATACCATACATCTAGTGATACAATGTTTGATAACATTCAAAACGGACGGGTAGTACAGCCCGGAGAGACGCCGTGGACTGTATTCATCAGAATTAGTCAACCTGGCGGGTTGGTCTTAATTTTATATAAAATATAAATTACATATATACTTTAAATATGTCTCCAAGTCTCTCTCTCTCTCTCTCTCTCT